TGTTGGTGTTTTTTTTTTTGGGTGGGTTGAGTCCTGGGGCAAGGGGCAGGTGACGTACGGATGGGGAGCGTATTCGACGCGACTGGTGCGGACGAACTCCTTGTCCGCGGCGGAGAGCCGGGCGTACATGCGCTCGCCGCTGACGAAGGCGGTGGTGCCCAGCGGCACGTCGAGGGTCTCGTGGGAGCCGTCGTCGTAGCGGAGGGTCTGGCGGCGGCCGCGCGGGACGCGCACGGCCAGCAGGGTGGTGACGCGCGGCGGGTGCAGCCCGTAGAGCGCGGCGTCGATGTGCCACCGGTAGAAGCGGGTGAAGTCGTGGTCCTCGGCGTCCGGGATCGGGTCGCGGTGGAAGGTGCGGTGGTGCGGGTGCCGCAGCTGGATGTCGGTCAGGCCCTCGTAGCTGGCGACGTGGCCGTGGCCGATCACCTGCACCTGCGGCTGGTGCGGCACCGTCTTGAGGTCCGGGTGCAGGATGCTGCGTTTCGCGTCGATCGTCTTGCCGTGGCCGTACGAGGAGGCCGCCGGGTCGAAGCGCCGCGTCAGCTCGTACTGCGCCCGCGGCGTCAGGTGCTGCTGGTTCTTCACGACCACGACCAGGTGCTTGTAGAGCGCGTCGTGGATGGTACTGAAGTCGTCGTCTGGAGGCAGGTGGGTGTTAGTTACGGTGGGAGGGGTTGCTGTTGGGAGAGTGTGCTGTACTGTACCGGTCAGGTTCTCCAGGTCGACGTTGTCGACGACCGCTCCGAAGTCGATGTCGGAGCCGGGAGGCGGGGTCAGTGGGTGGACAGTGGGTGCCATTGTGCTTGTTCGTGTAATTCTGCGATTCAGTCGCTCAGGGGATTGGAGGGAAGGAGACTCTATATATGAAAGCAAGCTGGGCTGGCGGGCATCGCCGCTGGCGCGGAAAAAGCCGATTTGATCGACGGGATGGAAGCTTATCGGCGGGTGAGCGGACTGACTCGCCCGCACCTCGGACGCCGAGAGGCCGAGCTTCTATTGTGGATTGCATAAGTGCCCATGACTAATGATGCTAGTCAAGCGGCACACTGCGTAATGGCGTGCGGCAGACACGATTTGGGATGAATCTGGTACTAATGACTATCTCTTTACGCTGAGTCTTGCGAGCCTTGCTGTTCCTTAAATTCGACCCAACGCATCTTCTAAGATACTTGGCTGTAGTAATATAGAGAGCTTAATATCTTGGAGTTGCCTCGCCAATCGTTCGCCCAAAGCAGTAGTCCGATGAGCAGCCGCAGGCTAATCACATGACCCCGCGTCAACATCCCCTCGCCGCGTCTCGTCTTCCATCAACAACAACACCCTAACCTCAGTCAAATCAAAACCATTCATCCAACATCAAGTGCAAATATTATATTCATCTACCATCGCGGGTAGGCTATGTACAACACTGTCTTTCCGCCGTGCCTTAATGCAAGCATGCAACAACCGTGTCGTCGTATGTCCATAGTTCCTCGTGATATTAGTACAGCAAACGAAGCAAATCCAACGGTCTATCAGCCATGCTCATGCCGCTCAGTCTGAAAAGCACCCTTCAGTCCCGAACTTTTCTCATGCGAGTCTTCCGAATATCATACCATATCATACCATTAAAACAAGCCGTCCGTATGCGTGTGCGAATGCAAATGCAATAACCAATCAAGCAAACCCAAGAAACCCAATGCATCTAGCTAACACTCCCGCAGGTGAACGGGGAGCGGACGTCACCCTCCCGGTAGTTGTTGATCTAGCATCCTCGTTAGAGCCCGTTCTGCACACCGAGAAAAGAGTTGACTGGGGAAAAAAAAACTTACGATGTCCTGAACACTGGAATACATGCCACCGACCAGCACAACCAACCCAAAGATGAACACGAGGAAGTTGACAACGCTCGTCAAGAGGTTCTCGCGCGAGTACCACGGGCCCTCGCGGATGAGGACATACCACATGATCGGGGGCAGGTAGAACGAGAAACCCGAGGTGAACAGCGCGGACGCGATGGAGAGGAGGTCGTCGAAGAACGGGATGGCCTCGGCGATGACCCACGACAGGATGGTCAGCACCGTGATCAGGATCAACCAGGTGATCCAGCCCTTGGGCGTGTTGATGTACCGGGTCACGCTGTTGGCGTAGATGCGGCCGTGGATCAGCCGGCCGGCGACGATGGTGCAGATCGCCCCGGAGATGAAGATGACGGGCAGCGCAATCCCGAAGGCCACCTTGCTGACCAGCGCCCCCGCCGACAGCAGCGCGGGCGACTGCACGTCCAGGCCGACAAACGCGTAGATGGTCGCGCCCGTCACCGTATAGATCACGATCTGCAGGATGCCCAGCGACCAGATCGACTTGGTGAAGTCGCGCGGCGTGTGCATCTCGTCCATGAACGAGAACAGGCAGCTGGCGAAGGTGTACGCGAACACGATGTTGCTGATGGCGATGAAGCCGTCGGAGAAACTGGGGTCCCCTTGTGGCCAGGCCGACCAGGTGACCGCGCCCAGGCCGCCGGCCGAGTTCGTACCCCGCACGCCCGTGGCGATGATCGTGATGCCGATGGCGGCCACAATCGACACGAAGTCCAGGTACCCCAGCCAGGCCATGTCGGCGAAGGAAGAGGGGATGGACAGCAGCAGCAGGATGATCGCCGACACGACGCTGAAGATGACGGAGCAGATGCCGCTGCCGGTGATGTGCTGCAGGGCGATGGTGCCCGTCAGGCAGTTGGAGCCGGTCAGGAAGATCAGCTGCAAGATCAACATGAAGGTGAACAGCTCGTTACCCCAGGGGCCCATCAGCAGGGCCCCCGCATCGCCGTAATGCCGGACAGCCGGGTACGCCAGCTTGACCTGTCCAATCACATAGGAGGTGTAGATAGCGATCAGGCCAATGCCGACGCAGCAGATCACGCCGGCGACCATGCCGAGCGTCGCGAACGCGGAGGGAATCGACAGCGAGCCTAACCCGATCGCCTCCACAATCAGCATGATAGTGAGCCCCTTCCACCCCAGACGGTGGTACTTGGCTTCTCCGGCCTCGATGATCTGCTGGTCTCCATCGTCCACGGCCTCAGGCAGCTTGCCCTCGCCGAGCCAAGCACTTTTGCCGGATGACCGCGGCTTCGTGGTCTTCTCGCAGTCATAATCCTTGCCGGCGGGCGTGGCACTGCCATCTAACAGTCCATTGGACGGGGGGCTCATGGTGAGCTAGACCGGTCACAGGTCAGGTCAGATGCTAAGAAACTCCCGTTATCTCAGGGGGGCACACAAGCTCAGGAACAAAAGAAGAAACAAGCTTCAGGATTGACAGCAAGCAGCAGCAGCAGCAGCAGCAGCAGCAGTGGTTAGCATGATTCGCACGCAGTCTCTGGCGATGTGACACAAAAGATTTCTGATTCGATTTTACCCGCGGGATTGAGAAAACGAGACAATACCGGCGGGAAGAGCGATTACCCTGTTACCTCCGTCCCGCGGCGGGTCGATCTATGGCTGTCCCGAGTCGTTGATTGGTCGCCCTGGGGGCCTTTTAACTATAAACAGTGACTGGGTCGGCCTCAGGGCCAATAACGGGGTGGCGGAAAACTGGCGGTGTTTCCCGAATTTCGACCCGTTCTGTTGTCGGGAAATCCGGGAAAAGCCGCAGAGTTTTCGCTGGGCGGTGGGTTCTTCTCGTCGTGGCATGATTCATCTTCAAATCATGTTCAGGCTGTGTTCTTCGCATCCCTCTCCACAGAAGATTGACATCATGCTTGGTCCCTTATGGCTGCACCGCACCGGCAGCGTTGTATCAATGTCATTGTCCAGCATGCAAGGGGGCAGCCAATCCAGCAGCCGATTTGAATTACTGCACGCGGGATGACACATGGTAGCTCATTCGGTGTTGTGGTCGGAGGGCTTCTAGATGGCTTGGCAGGTCGAGATCACATGACGTGATCCTTCCTTGAAGAACTCAATTCGACTGCAGATGGGCTGGTTCAGTCTAACTATCGCAAAATGACGTTGTCTTTCACTGGGCACTGGGGATGCGTGGCCACTTCATAGGCGGTCACACCCGGCAGAACGGCAGCATTATCCGAAGATTATCCATTGATCCCGTCGTCTACTATCTAATCAATCTATCCTTTTATAATACAGGACATCAAGGGAGAATCAATTCCCAGCCGAGGAGAAACTATCCAGTGCAGCTGAGCAGAGCACACCTCTCCGCTAATTGCGCAAGGTGGGGCTAGAAACCCTCCTCACTCCACTGCTGAATCGCCCGCGCGCGGTTGCGCAAACTCAACTCCAGCTCGTGCACCTCGGCCAAGGCCCGGCGGACGACGTGGTCGACGCCCGACACAAAGGGCGGCGGGGTGGTCCCTGTCCCTCCGCCGAGAACCGAGGATGGTGGAGTGATGGTCTCTGGAGTGGGGTAGTTGTGCGTGTGTCGCGACGGGGGAGGAGGGTGGAATGCGTGGTTGTAGGGAGCATAGCCTCTGCCTTCCGGCTGAGAGAAGAGGTGGTCGGACGAGGAATGGGAGTGGGAGTGTGCGTGATGGAAGAAAATGGAGCCTGCGGTGGCTGGGTGGTGGGGTCCTCCGGTGACCGAGGTAGGAGGTGCTCTGGTTGAGCAAGAGGTGGTGGAGGCAGTGGACGATGTGGACGCGGAGGAGGAGCAAGAGGAAGGGGGAAGGTAATCGGAGCCGAGCAGCATCCGCTGGGTGGAGGATTTGATTTTCGTGAGGACGGTGTTGATCATCTGCACGTTGAGCATGGCCTGCAATGACCTCGCGGATGAGGACGAGAAGGAGAACGACCCGAGCGACACGTCGAGGAGCGGGTTGGAGCTGCTGTCGGACGCGGCGATGTCTTCGCTGAGATGCAGCGGTCGCCGCGGGTCGAGACTGGCGGAACACCGCAGACGGTCCTGCAGGATGGAAATGAGGGCGTCAAAGTTGTGCAGCAGACGGAGGTAGGTCGTCAGCACAAGGAAGGCGAGGATGCTGTGTTGGGGGTCGGCTGCCGAGACTCCGGGAGGCGTCGTCGCGCGCCCTCCCAACTCGTCGCCCCCAACCCCAAACGAATGATCTTGGCTCACGCAGTCGGCGTACAGTCGATCCAGGGTCGGATCTAACCCGTACGATCGTGAAGGCGGGCGCGTCTCGCGTGACCCAGGCGCCAACTGGGAGTTGATGCGGTGCAGGACATCCAACGTCTGCTCCGATGCCTTGAGATTACGCTGCAGATGGGTCTTGAACTGGGAATCGGGGATCGGCACGGCTTGCCCTCCGCGTCCGTCAGACATCTTCAGTGCCGACTGGGCCTTGCGGATCATCGCGGCCAATTCGCGATTATTCTGGTTCACGCTGGCTTGCAGCTGTACGAGATCGAGCACGTAGTCGTCGGCAGTGGACTCGATGTCCGCGACCGCCAGAGCAGGATCGAGCGCGTGCTTGGGGATCTTGGCTCGATCGTCTTGGTCGGAGACGGTGAAGTCAAGATCGATTGGACCGGTAAGCAGATCCGAATATGGGACCGTGTCGGCGGGAGGCATCACCGGACCGGGTTCTCCCCAGTATGAATCTGTGTCACGCCAAGATCCGTCAGCCGGGTGTTACGTGCATTGGGGATGCGGAGTGAGGGAACAGGTCTCACCAACATCCAGCTGCATGGAGTCGGACTGGAACGCATCGAGGAGCTCACTGGTGCGTTCGCTGTCCAGGGGCTCGGGGAAGTGTGATGAGGCGTAATCCATCCCGGCCAACGGGGCCGCGGCGACGGCGGCACTACTTCGGTTGTCTGGGCTTCCCGCCGCTGTTGTGTAGGGGCTCTCCGCAGCGGACGAAGGGGCGAGGCTACCGCTGCTCTCTCGCTCGCTACTCTCCCAGCGGGCCCCGATCGTCGATCCATGCCGAGCCCGTCGAGGATCGGGGACCTCGGGCTCTCGGGCTTCAATGCGGGGGGGGCCTGACTCGGGCTGAGGCCGGCTTTTCTGTCGCGGCCGACCGAACCGCTGGGGCGGGTCGTAGACACACTCTGCATCTGCCTTGATGCAGCGGATACATGCTTTACTGGTGGTGACCCCCGGCGGACGAAGGCATTTCAGCTTTGAGGCGTGGCAGCGGTTGCACGCCTGGCGGGTGAGCGGGGCTTTACTCTGGGGGGTCGGTTGCGGCTGCTGTGGGTGCGACGCCGTCAAACTCATAGTCGGTGACATGATAGGAAGGAGTCGCAGGAGGTATGCTGTATGAACGGGGACAGTACTTGAGAATCGCTGCGCAACGAAACCCTACCTCTCCGGGTACATTCGGTGCTTTTATCTATGTACCGTACCTCCCCTGCAGCGAGGCAGCAGCCGTGTCGCCTGCTGATTACTTTTGGCACCGCTCGTGGCTGCGCAGGCATCACGATCCTGCTGCAGGTCTAGTCTCCACATGCAACACTGACTCGCTGGGGGGAGGGGGAGGGGGAGGGGGGTTTGCATGATCTGGAACTGAATGGAAGGTGTGCGTTTCAGTGAAGATTGGCGATGGATCAGACCGGCCATCAGATGGGATGCGCACGATGAATCCTGCGGTCTGCCTGATGCGACCTGGTGGTTGGTGGAAACCGGAAATGGCTCAACCTGGGCAGAACGAACTGCCGCTTGGATGGGCGGAGGGGTTGCGATCGAGATGTGTTTCCCCGAGACTTGCAGACACGCGGGCGAGGAGGCTCTGCAGTGGACATGATCTGATGTCGGCGGTGCAAGTCAGTGCAGTGCAGGACACTGACCTTGGCTCCACTTTGCCCAGGCGCTGCCGATGTTCTGACACATACGACCTGACATAATCTCTCCATCCGAAACAGCAAACGGTGGGCGGTGTAGGAGCGTGTAACCAACGGCCAGCCTTGCTGGGGATTTCTGGTAGTGTGCAGCGAGTGGCAGGGGTCAATCTCTCCAGCCGCCAATCTCGCTGGAGAGGTCGCTATCGGTACGACGTGCAACATGCAACTCGCACCACTACTAACCAGCCAGGGAACGATTCGGCACTAACCTCATGCCGAGTGATGAGCAAAACCAAGGAAAAGGGCAATCCTTCAGGGAGGGTGGCATGTTGACGTGGAAGGATTGGCGAGATAGCACCGGTTGCAGGGTTGCTGCCATGTGCTGCACTAAGCCATGTGGTGACGTACGGGTTGCAGACTCAGATTCCCTGGCCTTTTTAGGGTGTGATACGTGAGGATCATTGGAGGGGGCAGTGGGGATCGGATAACCGGGACTGTTGGCGTGGAGTACCGATGGAAGGAAGAGTTTTGGACCCCAATGGTTGACGATACCATGCATGCTCCTCTGCAGCATTATTAACTACTCGTAAGTTAGATGGGTAGGGAGTAGGCTAGGGCTACACAGTAGTTCGGTGTTGTTTAACGAGTCCACTTGACAATGCTATTGCATTGTTCCAAGTCTAAGAGCACTGAAGAAGAAGGGGGAGAGGAGTGAAGAGAACTCCGCCCCCACGTTAGCCAACTGGGGAACCAAGGACGATCAAGCCCTTGCAGCACCAGGATTCACGACTAGCCAGGCTTTGTGTCAACATTGAACTAAGGTAGTAGTCTCGACTGGACTCCTCCTCACGTTAACCTAAAGGAAACGCCCGCTAAGTTAGTAGGTAGTGCCCCGCCAGCCGGCCGATCGGCGGGTTTTGACCTATCAGCCGTGGCGGAGGAGGCAGTGGGTCGAGATGCTCTCGGCGGCGGTCGGGGGGGGGAATTCGCTCCGATAGACGCCAGTGTTTGAGTGTACTGTACGCCTACTGCCTTGAGTTGGGGTTGGTCAAGACCGTCTTCCTCTTTTCGAACACACACCTGATCACCAACTTACAGTATACTACTATGTCAATAGCATGAATCGTGTGTCTCGTGAGAAACAGATATGACATGATATGATACCAAGCCCCGAAAAAGCTTAGCAATCACATGACCCCACTAACCCCGTCCCCATAATCTTCCTTGCAATTAGTTGACTGCCGGGCACAGTTTTGGCCCTCGTATTCCCTTCCCAGCGGGGATTAAGTGAATGAATCCTCCAGCCAGAACACCATGGCTATGGCCTCATCCCTGGTCCATCACATCATGAAGGATGCACAGGATCTGAAGGATCAGCACTGCTCATACTAAGTACTGTATATACTGGATGTGCACTGGGTACTTAAGTTTTCGCGCTCCCGACGGTCGGTCGGTCAGCCTCGTCTTTGGCTCGGTCTGCATCATGCCACCCCGGGGGATGGATGGTACGCCTCGAGGCTCTGGCTCAGCCTAACCTAACCTAACACAGTAGCCCAGTAGTACAGACAAGATCCAGACCCATTCCAGGGTATCTCGGCACTGCACTGTCATCTCACTTTCTTACATACTTATCACTGAGTAGCTATAGCTGTGTGGTAGGTAGGTAACCTATAGCCAAGGATAGTACTGCATAAATCGACTCGATCGGATACGAATGCACTGCTGAACTCTCTTCCAAGGTCTTTTGCACCCTTTACCCAATAGATCAGCAACCTGGCAGGACGCCTAGCCACTCTTGGCAGATATATCCGAGTGTGAGTGAGTCGAGTCGAACATACGCGAATGAGTAAGATCCATACTATTTTTGAGTGGGACATTGCCCCTCGATTAAGTGATTCATCACTTCCGCCGTCGACAAAGCATATACAATAACAAACAACCCAACCCAATCCAGCACGCCGGTCGATAAGTCACTTCTAGGCAGCGAGATTACTAGCGCTGACTTAAAGTATAAGATCAGGGCCCGGGGATTAGGGTTCTTACGCTTGCGGTGACTTACCGTGCTGGGCCGGATGATCGATTGCATGATGCCCTGTCTGTCTGTCTGTCTAGCTTAGTTCAATTGAGTAGTTAGAGCACGAACTTTAGTAAGGTAGACGGCCTAGACGGCAAGTTAGGGCTTGGGGGCGACCGAGCGGACGACTTCCGCGGGAGGGCGGGGGCAGGAGGAGGAGGAGGACACGTGGAGGGTTTCTGCGGTCGGGCGGGCGGGCGGGCGGATGGTCGGGTGTTGCATGTACCGTCGTGTTGGTAATACGCTTACGCTTACGCGCTGCTGACTACTTTGTATTCTTGTTAAGGAATGAGGAAGGGTGACGGGGTTGATTGGTGTTTTGGGGGTGTGTACAGTACACACTGTGGCTGGAGGGGATTGTTGATGGTTGGAATGGGGCTTAGTCTTCGATCTGGGTGCTGGATGGGGTGGTTGATCGTATTCTGGGGATGTAGGTGTGGGATTTAGGGTTTCGCTTCTTGTGATTATTAGGATTAGGTGTTTATTGGGTCTATTTTACTTGAATTCTTTTTCAAGATGAGTTCGGATTGTTGGAGTGGATATATATTTGCTGAGGGGGGGTTGTATACTATGTCTTGTGCACCGACCGAGCCACTGAGAAGCGAATACGGACTTATCAATCATTGCTACTAGTTTCTGAGTTATGCAAAACAACAACACGCCCTTCCTGGGAAGCTGAAAAGAAGGGGGGTCCGGGGGTTCTCCCCCGGGACGGTATATTCTAGGACTTAGAACTAAGATTACCAGGAAGCTGAAAGAAGGGGGGGTCCGGGGGTTCTCCCCCGGAACGTCTTACTCTAGGTATATATTAAGGTGCAATTGCTTCAATGCCTCTACTATGAGGAATGGGATACAACAGACACAACAAACAACATAATCATTAGTCAACCACAGAAACAAAACCACCTAGCTATCCTGCTTCGCAAGATCCTCCTTGGCCGACGAAGGCGGCATCCCAAACAACCGCTCGAAAAAGTTCGTCGTCGCCTCCAGCCCGCCCGGCGCCGGATTCTCCACCTTCTCCCCGTCGGCCTTCACGACCTCGAACCCAGGGAACGCGGGCAGCGCGTCGCGAATCTGCCGCGCATACATGGGCATTCCGGCCGGGTAGGACACCAACTCGAAAGGCTTGCCGGGGATGGAGCCGCCCATGTAGGTGGAGTGGACGGTGGGGAAAAAGCTGGCGTTCTGGAAGGCGCGGATCTGCAGCTTCCAGGCGTGGGCGGCCTCGCGCGAGGGGTTGATGGAGCGGATGGCCTGGCGCTCCATCTGCTTGATGGCGTCGGCGATCCAGCGGCCCTGCACCTCGATGGTGGTCACGGCCTGGCTGAACAGGGTGGGCGCGTGCGTGCCGTACAGGTGGAACAGGTTGGGGTAGCCGGCCACCGTCAGCCCCAGGTAGGTCTCGGCAGCCTGCGACCAGTCCTCCTGCAGCGTGGTGCCGTGGACGCTGCGCACGCCCAGGTTGATCATGCTGCCGGTGGTGGTGTCGAACCCGGTCGCCAGACACACGACGTCGACCTCGTGCACGGTGCCGTCCTGCATGCGGATGCCATTTTCCGTGAAGCCGACGATCGGGTTGCTCTTGGCGTCGACCAGCTCGACCGTGTCGCGGTTGAACTGCTCGTAGAAGTCCGTCTCCAGCGAGGAGCGCTTGCCGCCGAAGAAGTAGGGCGGCTCGACGGGCGCCAGCAGGTCGCGGACGCGCGCGTCGTTCAGGCGCGCCCGCGTCTTCTTGGCCCAGAAGTCGTACAGGTAGCGGTTGGCGACCGGGTTGAGCATCGTGTCCTTGTAGTTGGCGGTGGAGAAGTCGAAGCCGCCGGTCTGGTAGCGCTGCTCGTAGAAGGCCTCGCGCTCGGCATCGGAGTCCTCGAGGGCGCTGCGCTCGCTGAAGTCGACCAGCGCGCCCGTGAAGGTCTTCTCGCGCAGGTCGAACAGCTGCGGGTAGATGGGCTTGAGCTGGTTCTGCTCGTCCGCGGTGAGCTCCCTGCGGCGCATCGGGATGGAGTAGTTGGGAGACCGCAGGAAGACCTTCAGGTGGCCGGCTTGCGGGCCCCACGCCTGCGTGACCTGCACGCCCGAGGCGCCCGTGCCGATGATGGCGGCGCGCTTGCCGCGCACATCGACCTCGTGCTCCGGCCAAAAGGAGGTGTGGTGGATGGCGCCCTTGAAGTTCTCGATTCCCTCCCACTCCGGGATGTAGCGCTTGGACGAGACGCCCGCCGCGGCGATGAAGTACTTGGCGTACGCGGTGCGGCCGTCTTGGGTCTTCACAACCCAGCGGCTCTGGCTGGGGTCGAACTGGGCGTCGACGACGACGCTGCCGAAGGCGACGTCCTTCTTGATGTCGAGGACCTTGTCGACGTGGTCGAAGTAGGCCCGCAGCTCTTGGTAGTCGGGGTAGTTGGTGGACCAAGTCCAGTCCTTGTAGGTCTCGGGGATGGAGAATTGGTATAGGGGCACCTGCGAGTCGACTCGTGCTCCGGGGTAGCAGTTGAACCGCCACGTGCCGCCCAGGTCGGAGCCCGCCTCGTAGACGACGGTTTTGAGGCCCTGTTTGCGCAGCTCGTGCAGCATGTAGATGCCGCTGAACCCGGCGCCCACGATGAGGACATCTACCTGGAGGTTGTCCTCGTAGATGCCCGTGGAGCCATGGGGGTGGGAGAATTCTTTGAGCTCGCGATGCATGATGCTTAGGGTTGTGGGAGAGATGTGGGTTGTGTGAGGTCGAGTCTCATGGCGATGTGATTGTAATATAGTTGATGCCTGGCAGGGTACAATTCGGCGAGTAGATCTGTCATGCCACAGTTTGCTTTCACGATGGGTCGTGTTTGGTGTTGTTGGTGCTTGGCCGGCGAGTATCCTATCTCTCCGAGGTCCGGCTGGTGAATATCGCCGACGGCGCCGATACAGATCGCCCCCGCTGTTAACCTCAAACCCACTCAAAAGAGAACAGTGGGCAACCAACTGCAGTAGCTGTGTGCCTCGTGGGACGAGGCTGGGTGTATCCACTCTGGTTGTGCTGCCGCAGGCTGTCTCTGCCAGCTGGTTTACCTGCCGCAATCCTTACTCAGTTATGCAATATGGAGTTGATTAGTTCTTCAACTCCCGAATCTGAGACCGACTAAGATATACCTAGAAAAAGCACGTTCCGGGGGAGAACCCCCGGACCCCCCTTTCTTTCAGCTTCCCAATAACACTCAGCCCTAAGGAATAACCCTTAATCTTAGGCATCCTAGAATAAACACGTCCCGGGGGAGAACCCCCGGACCCCCCTTTCTTTCAGCTTCCTGGTGACACTCAATCTTAAGCTTCCTAGAATAACCACGTCCCGGGGAGAACCCCCGGACCCCCCTTTTTTTCAACTTCCCAGTAACACTCAACCCTAAATTCTACAATGAACGTGACCCAACAGCACTCAAGCATATTCATATTCACCCAGATAGAAAGACACACATCCTAAGCCCTCACAACCAAAACCAACCCAACAACAACAAAGACAATCTACTTCCTCCCCAACCGAACATAAACAAACCAACATTCAACAGCCTCGTTCCGATGCTCCTCCAAAAACCTCGCCCTAGTCCGCTCCACCCACTCCGCCAACAGCCCATCCACGACCGTCTGATCCGTAACCCCCATCCCCTCCCTGACAGCCTTAACAAAATACCCCGCCACAACAGCCATCAGCCAATCCACCACCGTGCGCGCATACCACTGCGCATGCTCGTCCTCCCTCCCCGGCTCCGCCTCCCTCCGCTCCTCCAACTCCCGGAGCGCAGGATGCACAACCTTGCGCTCAAACACCTCCTCCACCTCCCAATCCGCCCCCACCGCCCCCTCCGCCAGCGTACGCCGCACATCCGCCATACAGCGATTATAAGCGGGCACCTCGAACACCGTCGCGACGGCGGGACTCAGCGCCCCGGCCCGCAGCATATCGACCATCGCCGCGCGACACGCGTCCACCGGCGCCGCATAGTTGGTGATCTCCTCGCCGGCGGGCCCCAGCTCCTGCCCCACGAAGCTCAGCACCAGCGCCCCGCCCGGCACGATCTCGTCCGCGCGATGCGCCAGGAAAGCGAGGAGGTCGGCGTGCGCCTGCGCGCGGAACTCGGCCTGCCGGGCCTCGTGCGTCGGGACGGGGCCCTGCGGCGGCACCGGGGTGACGCGGTCGAGGTGGTGCAGCGCCGCGAGGCTGAAGGCCACGTCCACGCTTGCCTTCGGGGCGACGCGCGAGTAGAAGGAGGCCGGGAGGAGGGAGGTGAACACTTTGTTGTTGCTGGGCCAGGTCATGGCTGTCAGGTTGGCGGCGAGGGTGGTGAAGTCGTTGGCGGGGCGGTCGTTGAACTGCAGGTGGATTTCGCGGGTGGGGGCCGGGGCGTGGGATTTGAGGATCGTGGTTATCGGGGTGTGACTGTGTTATCTTTGGTTAGTTTGGGGAAGGGGGTGGGGGTATGGATTGGGGGATACGGGGAGGCGCACGAGTTGTTGCCGTGGGCGGAGCCGAATTCGAGGATTGTGAGGGGGCGCGAGGTTGGGTCTTGCTGCTTCGCTTTGGATGCTGTCGCTGCCGCGGATAGGAGAGGCAGGGCGTGGAGCATGGCGGCGTGCTGCAGGGCCGAGTTGGAGCTGTAGAAGCCGTTGCCGTGCATGGGCACGTCGTTGGCGCTGACTTTGGCGGGGGACATGTTGATGGTCTGGTTTACTTGATGGGTCTTTGCTGGGTGGTTTGAGTGTGTAGGGTACTGGTTACGGTCGTGGTGGTATATATACTCGCATCTGCAGTCGTCGGCGAGTTACGGCCGGCGAGATTCGGTGGGTTGCTACTGTTACAGATGCATTCGATGCGTAGCTCGATGACAATAGGAAGGTTCGGGACCTCTGTGCGTTACAGCTCAGGGATAAGGGTTGTTTTAAGCTGGGAAGTTGAAAAAAAGGGGGGTCCGGGGGTTCTCCCCCGGGACGGTATATTCTAGGACTTAGGGTTGAGTGTTACTGGGAAGCTGAAAGAAAGGGGGGTCCGGGGGTTCTCCCCCGGGACGGTATATTCTAGGACTTAAGACTAAGGTACCTAGGAAGATCACAACAACATGAACTCTGTACAGCATCAGGGCTACAGCTACCTCCTTCCCACGGTCATCAGATATCTGTGTCCCCGCATCTGCTGCGCGATCCGAAACACGGTCGACTCATCCTGGCCCGGCACATACTCGAACCGAAAGCGCCGGAGCAGCGAGACCAGCGAGAGATGCATCTCCTGCGCGGCGAAGTGCTTGCCGATGCAGACGCGACTGCCCGCGGAGAACGGGTAGTAGGGGAGGCTGTTGGCCTCGCCCTTGGCGTAGACGCCCAGCCAGCGCTCGGGGAGGAACTCGGTCGCGTTCGGCCACAGAGCCTCGTCGAGATGCACCTCCTGCGTCGTGGGGAAGACCGTCGTGCCCTTGGGGATGTCATACCCCAGCAGGGTCTCGTGCTTGCGCGACTCGCGCGGACTGCCCGTCGCCTGGCCGGGGACCAGGCGCATGGTCTCGTCGATGCACGCCTGCAGGTAGACCATGCCGGACATGCTGTAGTCGCAGTCCGTGGGACGCGGGTCGTCGCGGGGATACCAGCGGTCGATCTCCTCGTAGAGGGCGGCGAGCTTGCGTGGGTGGCGCAGGAGGTGGATGAGGGTGAACAGCTCGGCGTTGGCGGTGGTCTCGCTGCCGGCGATGAGCAGCACGACGCTCTCGTCCTGGATGTCGGAGACGCGGAACGGCGAGGCGGGGCTCTCGTCCGCCGCTTCGATCATCTTCTGGAGCAGGTCCTCGCGGGGCGGGCCCTGGCGGCTGGCGATCTGCGCGCGGCGCTTCGCCACGATCTCGTTGGTGAACCAGCTGACGTAGGGGTCGCGGTTTGGGATGAAGGGGATCTTGGTGAGCCACGGCATGAACTGCAGGATGCCCGACAGTTTGAGCGCCTGCTTCAGCCGGTCCGGCAGCGGATGCGACCCGTTCTTGACCAGGTCGAAGGTCTGCCCGAACGTCGTCACGCCGATGATGTCCGCCGCCAGCGACTGGATCATGTGCTGCATGTCCACGGTGGTGGTGCCGTTTGCACACTGTCTGTCGAGCTCGTCCACCAGCACGGAAATGCAGTCGCGCATCAGTGGCTGCATGCTGCGGATGTACCGCAGGCCGAACATGCTCGAGACGAGGCGTTTGCGCTGGCTGTAGGCCTTCTTGTCGGTGAAGGCCAGGAGGGTCGGCCGCTGCGGGTCCTGCCGGAAGTTGCCGTACACGGCTTCCGATTTGGCCCAGTCCTCCGTGTGGACGATGCGTTTGATCTCGCGGGCGTCGGAGATGGAGATCATGGTCGGGGAGAGGGCGACGATGGGGCCGTACTTCTTGTGCAGGCCGACGGTGAAGATGTGGCTGGGCTGTTAGACCCCTGTGACGATCTGGAGGGGGGAGGGGATTACCTTTCACCCTTGGCGATTGCGATCTTGAGGGGTAGGGAGGTGAGTTTGTGAAGCCATGAGCCGGGGATGCGCGAGACGGGCGAGAAGAGTCGCTGCAGGTACTGGAATAGCTTGGGGATGATGTAGCCGACGAGGAGGAGCGTCCAGACGAGGTTCATGCCGGAGAGGTAGGGCTTGAGGAGCCCAGTGATGTCGTGCATTTCCGCCATGGTGGCTGCTTTTTTGGAGTGGGCGGTGGTCCTGGTGGACGCTGGTGGACGCTGGCTATTTATCTGGTGGAACAAGTGAACAGTGAACCATGTAGTGACTACCGGCGATGGCCAAAAGTCGCCGATCCGCCAGCTGGATTCAGCCCAATGCTAATACCAGTGGCATGACTGGTTATAAAGGCCAAGTAAGACCACTGAACCATTGTTTTTATTAAAATAACACTCAACCCTAAGTCATCGAGTATACCGTCCCGGGGGAGAACCCCCGGACCCCCCTTCTTTTCAGCGTCCCAGTAACAGTTAATCTTAATATGTATCTAGAAGAGGACTTTCCCGGGGAGAATCCCTAGAACCCTCTTTCTAATAAGTTTCTATAACGCTCAATCCCAATACATACACAGAGTAAGACGTCCCGGGGGAGAACCCCCGGACCCCCCTTCTTTTCAGCTTCCTGGTAACATTCAATCCTAATATAGACCAAGCCTAACATCGTTTACCCCCAACGATCCTCAATATACCCCTACTTGTACACATGCACCGATTTGACCTGGCAGAACCCCAACAGCCCCTCCAGCCCATACTCGACCCCCATGCCGCTCAGCTTGTGGCCGCCAAAGGGCACGTAGGCATTTGGCTTGGGCGGCCCGTTCACAAACACATTCCCGACATCCAACTGAGCCGACACTCTCTCCGCCAACTCCGCATCCGCCGTCCAGACAATCGCACTCAACCCGGTGGTGCCCTCATTCGCGATGCGCACCACTTCATCCGCGGTATCGAACGGCTTGCAAGAGACGACAGGCCCTGCAATCCCCAACAGTCACAGTCACAGTCAGTACAAACCCACGGGTCAATCGATCACCAGAGAACCCACCAAAAACCTCCTCCTGCAGGACCCCCGCCTCATCCGGCGGATTATCCAGCACGACGGGCCGAACAAACAGCCCCTGCTCCTCGCCCCCCTTCTTCCCCTCCTCCCCACCCGCCACAAACCTCAGCCCTAATTCCTGACATTCCCGCAGCACCGCCTGCACCTTCTCGAACTGCATCTCATTCTGCACCGGCCCCACACCCCCCGCCATCTTCTGCGTGACATCCCCCAAAACCCGCACAAACTCCCCATAAACAGCCGAATGCACATACAGCCGCCGCGCATTGATACACACCTGCCCCGCATTAAACCACAAGCCGCCCGCAATCTTCGCCGCCGTCGCCGCAACATCCACATCCGGGAAAACAATCCCCACGTTGTTCCCGCCGCTGCGTGCGTCAGCCCGTCTCTTCGGTCTTGGGGAGGCGAAGGGCATACGTCTCCAGGGTAAACCGCTTCATGGTCTCGGCGCAGCCGCGCAGGATCTTCTGGCCGGTGGCCGTGGACCCCGTGAAGGAGATCTTCTGGATGCGCGGGTGGTGGACGAGGAGGGGGCCGAGCGTGTCGTCGCCGCTGAGGGCTTGGAGGATCCCCGGGGCGAAGATGCGTTGCGCGAGGTGGATGAGTTTGAGGGTGGTGTAGGGGGTGAATGGTCTTGTTTGTCAGTTGGGCTTTGGGTGCTACAGGGGGGAGGGGAAGGGGAAGGGGGACGGACGAGGGTTTGACGATGAGGGTGTTGCCTGTTGCTATTGCGGGGGCGATTTTGCCCATTGCTAGGGGTAAAATTTTAGAAAATGCTTGGAGAAGTGGGTGATGGATGCGGTAAATACCTAGGCTGATGGGGACTGGTGCTGGTTAGCAAGCATGGCTGGTGGTAGAGGGCAAGGCACGTACAGTTCCACGGACAGATGGCGGCGACCACGCCCAGCGGCTCGTACTTGGTTATCGCTACGAGCTCGTCGTCTTCGTGCTTCGTCTCGGGGAGGGTGTACTTGGCTGAACACGCGTCAGCTTGGTGTTCCCTTGTGTCTTGCTGTGACCTGTACGCACCAGGATACCGCAACCACTCCGCCGCCCAGTATACCTCGATCGCGGCCGTTTGTCTCTGTCTACGTCAAAACCTGCACATTACCGGAGAACACGCACCGCAAAAGAAAGGCAAGGCATACACTCCGCCCCGTCTCCGCCATCAACAGCTCCACAAACTCCTCGGCATGCTGCAGGTAGAGATCCGCGAACTCGCCCAGCAGCCGCGTGCGCTCGGTGTAGGGCAGCGCCGCCCAGCCGGGGAAGGCCGCTGCGGCAGCAGCGACCGCGTCGTCGACATCCTGCGCGGTCGCGACCGGGACGTCCCACAGTTTGGCGCGGGTGAGCGGCGAGACGCCCGCGTGGACGGTGGCGGCGGAGCGCGGCTGGCCGGCGATGATGTTGTGGAAGGTGGTGAAGTCGAGGGACATGGTGTCGTCTGTCTGTGCGGAGGGGTCGGGTGTTGGAGCAAGCTTGTGTTGTCTGAGTTTGGTGTTCTGTTCTTCTATCGACATGTGTGCAAGTGGTGTCGGCGAGTTTCGGCGAGTTCGGCGGCTCTCTCAGCCTTAAGTCGTGGAATGAACACGTTCCGGGGGAGAACCCCCGGACCCCCCTTCTTTTCAGCTTCCCGGTAGCCTATATTCGAAGACTTAGACTTGAGTGTGGCCAGGAAGCTGAAAGAAAGGGGGGTCCGGGGGTTCTCCCCCGGGAAGCCCTACTCTAGGTACACATCAGGATGCGCACTACCGGTTGAGCACAGGGCGTCACAGCCCTATCGCAGAGTCAATGTAGCTACATAGTCATGAATACAGCTCTCTAGACAGAGCATCGATTGAGTTAGTTCGAACGCAGCAAGACAGAGACAGTCTACCTCGCCTCCTCCACCCGGCCGCCCTTCCCCATCTCGACCCCCTCGCCCACGATCCTCGTCTTGGACTCCCCTTCCCCCTCGGCCTGCATCCCATACTCGGTATTCAACTCCTCCCGCAACCGATACGCCTTGACCAAAAAGCACAGCAGGAACCCCACCCCGCAGAACGCGATACTGACCTGCCACACCTCCCGTAGACTAACCACGTACAAGTTTCGAATCGCCCGCATTATCTCAGGTCTGCCCTTAAACGAGCTCATAAACGCCTTGGTAGCGCGCTCGTACGCCCCTCCGTTCACCAACAGCCCCCTAACCGTAGGATCCTCGATCGTCTGCGACGCGAGGGTGTTCGCTTTCGTGTTGAACACCGCCGCGGGGATCGCGGTGCCCCAGATGGCGCCGAAGTTGCGCATGAAGATCCAGGTGGCTGTGCCGGTGGCGACGTCGCTTTCGGGGAGACTGGCGAGGATCGGGGGGAGACCGGTCGTGAAGACGATGCCGGTGCCGACCCCGAACAGGATCTGGTAGCCTGTCCATTGGCCGGTGGTGGTGGATTGGTCCAGCAGGGTGAAGAGCCCGCAGGCGATGGTCATCAGGGCGAAGCCGATGTACTGGAAACTCCGGTAGCGGCCGGTCTTGGTCATCAGGATGCCGGCGACGATGCCGGCGGGGGCGGTGGTGGTGGCGACCGGGAAGAGCATGACGGCGGAGCGGGTCGGGGTGGCGTTGAGCACGGCCTGGAAGTAGATGGGCAGGAAGTAGCACACCCAGAACAGGAGCAGGCTGTAGATGAAGGCCATCACGAACAGGGTGGCGGCGGTGCGGTTGCGGAAGAGGCGCAGCGGCATCGTTGGTTCGGGCGGCAGCGCCTCGTAGGCGATGAACCCGAGCAGTCCCACAAACCCGAGGACGAGGGGCACGATCGTCCGCCACGAGGACCACGGGTGCGTGGTGCCCGCCCAGGTGAGCGAGAGGAGGATGGCGGTCACGCCCAGGGTCAGCAGCGTGATGCCGCCCCAGTCGATGGTGCGGAGACGGCGCAGGATGCTCGTGTCGGAGCGGGGATTGCGGACCCGCAGGAGGGTCACGATCAGGAAGAGCGAGCTGCCCGCGATCGGGAGGTTGATGTAGAAGATCCACCGCCACGACACGTTCTGCGTGAACCCCCCGCCCATGATGGGCCCGACCACGGCGGCGAGCGTCCAGGCGGCGCCTAGGATCCCCGCGTAGACGCCACGCTCGCGCAGCGAGACCATGTCGCACACGAGCACCTCGGAGAGCGTGGTGATGCTGCCGCCGCCGAGGCCCTGGATGGTGCGGCCCGCGAGCAGCATCCCCGTGTTGCGCGCGGCGCCGGAGATGGCGCTCCCCACGGCGAAGATGACCAGCGCGAGGGTGGTCATGCTGCGCCGACCGAAGATGTTGGACAATTGGCCCACGATCGCCGACGAGACGGTCGAGGACAGGAGGTAGGTGTTGATGATCCAGATGTAGAGCTCCTCGGAGCCCAGGTCGGCGGTGATGGTGGGCAAGGCGGTCGAGATGATCGAAGTGTCGAGCGCGGCCACGAAGGTCGCGATCCCGATGGCCAGGAAGATGAGCCAGAAGCGCAGGCCCTTCTTGGGAGGGGCGTTCGGCTGTGCTGGCACATTGTGTACATCGTGTTCAGACATGTTGTACTTGAGAGTAGGGAGGAGGGGGCCAGTGTGCTATGATCAGGGTCTATATAATTTGGCTGAGGGGCTGAATCTCGCCGAAAGGATTCATTCCCTGCTGTTACACTGCAGATCATATAAGCTACGCAATGCTGAACCCTAATGTAGACCTGGAATAAACACGTTCCCGGGGAGAACCCCCGGACCACCCCCTTTATCAATTTCAATTTCTCATTAAGACTCAATTCTAAGTCCCAGAGTATACCGTCCCGGGGGAGAACCCCCGGACCCCCCTTTCTTTCAGCTTCCCGGCAACACTCAACCCTAAGTCCAAAGTAAACATATTCCGGGGGAGAACCCCCGGACCCCCCTTCCTTTCAGCTCCCCAGTAACACTCCTACACGCTGCAGCCCACTAAACAGGAGCCACCTTCCGTACGGCAACCAAGCACGGCTCCCCAAACACCTCCCTCACCCTCTCCGCCCCAACCACCCGAAGATACCACCGCACCACCCGGGGAAACCGCCCCCTCATCTCCTCATCGATATAATGCATGAACGCCCAGAACAGCGCCGACGCGAGCGTCAAATCCGCCAAGGACAACCCCCCCTCCGTCGCCAGGTAGTCTTTCTCCCTCTCCCCCCCCGCAAGATGCCGCTCCACCACCGCCAACGCCTCCTCCAACCCTTTGGCCCCCTCGCCATCGACCCGCGCATCGTACTCCCGCATCCCCACGCGCCACAGCACCACCGCCACCATGTTCCGGAACACCTCGGTCTCCGCGAAGCAGATCCACTGCCGCACCGCCGCCTGCTCGGCGACATTGCGGCCCAGCAGCGCCGGCGCCGCGGGCCCGCACCCCGCCACGTACTGCGCGATCGCGTCGGATTCGACCAGCGTCACCTCGCCGTCGGAAGATTCGAAAGCGGGGACCTTGCCGGTGGGGAATTTCTCGAGGAACTCGGGGGATTTGTTGGCCGTGCCGAAGGCGAAGGGTTGGGGGATGTCGAGGGTGAGGTTGTTTAGTGCCGCCGCGGCTTGGATCTGGGGTTTGTTAGGAGGTGGGGAGGGAGGAAGGGAAAGGGGTAAGGGGGTTGAGGAGGCACCTTCAGGACCCGCGCGTTGGGTATGTATGTGTACAGACGGCCGATGGGTGCCATTGTTGTGTTGGATGGTTGGTGGGTGGTTGGGAGTTTGGAGTGGGCGCAATCGGCGGAGACGCGGCGGGATTATATACCTGCCTGTTGACACTCGTGCCTCCGAAGGATGTGAGATTAGTGGGGGAGCTAAAAGGCTTTGCAATAAATTTAAGAACATTTGTAGTGATCAGCTAAATCGAATGATGTTATACGATAGAGGACTAAATAGTAAAAATTTCGTACTGTGAGACATAGAGCGTAATCTGGGACATAGAGGCTGAAAGCTCCGAAGGACAATCGGCTACTTTCCACCACAGTCACAAACGCACCGAACCACTATCTAGACCATCGTCCCCCGCTTGATCTCGAACTGCTCATCCAGCCAGGCAAACATCTTCTGGTGAAACACCGCCCACGCCCCGATCTTGGCCTGCAGCCCACCCCCCTCGACCCCCTTCCCGATCCACAACCGCTTCTTCTGCGGTGGGAGATGCCCCAGCGTCTCGAAGATCGGCTCCGTATTCTGCTTTGGCGTAAAATAGAATGTATGCGCCGCCCCCGTCACAAACGTACTGCACTTGACCTTCTGCAAAAATCCCCTGGCGTGGTACTGCTGCATGCAGCGCATCACCTCCGCCGGCGTCTCCACCCCATACACCCACATGCTGTGGCCGAACTCCCAGCGCAGCTGGAAACTCCACCCGGCCAGTCTATTGACCACCCAGTTGAAGAACCCGTCGCTGAGCCGCCCGCCCAGCCACCCATTGATAAACCACCCGGGCATGCGACTGCGCGTGACGTCGAAGAGATCGTAGCACGCATCGCACGAGACGCACGCCCGCACGCGCGGGTCCGCCGCCGCCCGCAGAGCAAAATACCCGCCCAGCGAGGCGCCGACCACTGCCACCCTCTCCAAGTCGATCGGATAGTCCTCGGCCAGCTGGCTCTCCACCACATCCAGCACTTTGGTCGTCACGTGCTCCCAGTCCGGGCGCAGCCGCAGCCCGTCGCGGCGGAGGCAGATGCCCTGGCCCGGTCCCTCGAAGGTGAGCACCGCGTAGCCGCGCGGAAGTGCAGCCGCCGGCCCGAAGAAGTACAGTTCCTCCTGCGTCGAGTCGAACCCGCCGGTCATGATGAGGAGCGGGAGCTTGCTTTTGTCTTGGCCTTGGCCTGCCTGCGCGGCACCCGACCGGGGGAGATACAACCTGCCCGGCAGCCGCGCAGCCCCCTTCTCCTCCTCGTACGGAATCTCCACCCGCGCCACCGTGCACGTATCCAGCAGATCCACCCCCTTGTCGAACACGGCGACACTATGCTCGATCGCCGCCAGCGAGCGCGGGTCGTCCGGCCGGGTGTGCAGGAAGAACTCGCTGGCGCGGAAGTAGTTGCTGGCGCGCAGGTAGGCCCCCGACGCGGCCAGCGTGTCCCCGGAGACGAGCGCCTCGTCGCCCAGCCCCCGCGCCTGCTGTGCCTGCGCCGTCCACGCCCGGTACCACGCCTCGGCGTCCCCGTCTGCCACCTGCGGGAGCACCGCCAGGCACTCGCCTGTCTCGGCCCCGCCGGCGGGCGCGCTGGCCAGCACTCGGAGGAACTCGAAGTGGAAGAAGTCGGATGGGTAGAATTTGAACATTGTGGTAGTTGTCTGGATCAGAAAAATGCTACAAGAGGTGTGAAGTTGAGATGGGGGGTTAAGAGGCAGGCAAGGCTGGCCGGGAAGGGGAGTTCGGCTGGTCGGCGACTTTGTTGGCGCCGACCGGGAGGATTGGAGGGAGGTTGAATTGTATACGTATACGTATACTTCAAAAGATGGGTTGTCTTCGGTCGGACGACGGAGAACAGAACAAGATAGACTGTGATATATCTATACCTCACCCTCAACGAAATTCCCCTTTCATTCTTTGTCTTTCTTTTCAACAACTAGACACACACCCGCACACACCATGACGCTCCCCCATCCCACCAGCAGCACCACCAGCAGCACCCCCGAGCCCATCGCCATCGTGGGCATGGGGTGCCGCTTCCCGGGCGGGGCCAACACCCCCAGCAAGCTATGGGATCTTCTATGCGCCAAGCGCGACGTGCAGCGCCGCATCCCGACCGAGCGGTTCGACGTCGACGCCTTCTACGACCGGGACGGCGAGCGGGCGGGCTGCCTCAACGTGCGCGAGGCCTACACGCTGGACGAGGACATCCGGCAGTTCGACGCGGCGTTCTTCAAGACGAACGCGCTCGAGGCCGAGGCGATGGACCCGCAGCAGCGCCTGCTGCTGGAGACGGTGTACGAGGCGCTGGAGTCGGCGGGCGGGGTGATGGAGGCGCTGCACGGCTCCGACACCGCCGTGTACGTGGGCGTGATGACGGGCGACTACCACGAGCTGCTGCTGCGCGACCCCGAGGACATGCCCAAGTACATGGCCACCGGCACCGCGCGGAGCATCCTGTCGAACCGCATCTCGTACTTCTTCGACTGGACGGGCCCCTCCATGACCATCGACACCGCCTGCTCCTCCAGCCTGGTCGCCGTCCACGAGGCCGTCCAGGCCCTGCGCCAGGGCCGCTCCGCCCTCGCCTGCGCCGCCGGCGCCAACCTCATCCTCGGCCCCGAGATGATGATCTCCGAGTCCAAGCTGCACATGCTCTCGCCCACCGGCCGCAGTCGCATGTGGGACGCCGCCGCCGACGGCTACGCCCGCGGCGAGGGCTTCGCCGCCGTCATGCTCAAGACCCTGCGCCAGGCGGTCGCCGACGGCGATTATGTCCATGGCGTTATCCGCGAGACCGGCGTCAACTCCGATGGACGTGAGTAACCTTCTTTCCCCCGCCCTAACTTTCTTCTTTGTTTTGTAAGGGTGGTCCGGGGATAAGACTTCCCGGGGGAGAACCCCCGGACCCCCCTTCTTTTCAGCTTCCTGGTTACACTCAACCCCAGTCCTAGAATGCGGGTTTAAAGCTGAAAAGAACAGGGGCCCGGAGACCCCCCGGGACGTGGCTATCCCAAGACTGAGGACTGAGTGTAGCCAGGAAGTTGAAAGAAAGGGGGGTCCGGGGGTTCTCCCCCGGGACGTCCTACTCTCGGCCTTTGGATTGCGGTTTAGTGGGAAGCCTTACTCCAGACGGCTAATGGAGGTACAGGAACGAACGGAATCACCCTCCCCGGAGCAGACTCACAGACGGCGTTGATTCGACAGACGTATGCACGCGCCGGGCTGGACATCGACGCCCAGCGGTGTCAGTACTTCGAGGCCCACGGGACGGGCACCCCGGCCGGAGACCCTATCGAGGCGCGTGCGATCTACAATGCATTTTTCGCCACGTCCAGCGAGCAGGCAGAGACGCCGCTGTACGTCGGGTCGGTGAAGACGGCCGTCGGTCATCTCGAGGGCACAGCCGGCCTGGCGGGGCTGGTCAAGGCCGTCGAAGCCGTGCGGCGCGGGGAGATTCCTCCCAACATGCTGTTCGAGTCGCTGAACCCGGAGATCCAGCCGTTCTACCACCGCCTCGCTGTTCCGACCGAGACGATGCCATGGCCGCAGGTGCGGGAGGGAGAGCCGCGTCGCGCGAGTGTGAACTCTTTCGGTGCGTTTCTTCGAGTGTGCAACAGGACAAAACGTGCTAATGCAACCAGGCTTCGGCGGAACCAACGCGCACGCCATCATCGAGTCGTACGACAACCCACATCGACGTCCGTCAACTTCTCCATCCTCCCTCTGCACACCCCTAGTCCTCTCCGCCAACTCGGAGACCTCGCTGCGCGGGCAAATCGAAGCTTTCCACACACTCCTCTCCACCACCGACACCCCCGTCCACGACATCCTGCACACCCTCCAGACCCGGCGCTCGCAACACCCCGTGCGTGCCACCTTCTCGGCCCCCGATCGCGACACCCTCAGCACAGCCCTCTCCAAAGCCATCGCCAGCGACTCCACCCTCGGAACCCGCGTCGACAAGAAACCCGCGAAGCCACGGATCCTGGCCGTCTTCACGGGCCAAGGCGCGCAATGGCCGACGATGGGCCGGGAAATCCTGCGCGGCTCCCGGCTCGCCCAGCAAACCCTCTCCACCCTGCAATCCGCGCTAGACACCCTCCCCGACGGGCCTGACTGGTCCCTGACTACCGAAATCCTCACCGACAAAGCCACCTCGCGTCTCGCCTCCGCCAGCGTCGCGCAGCCCCTCTGCACGGCCGTGCAGATCCTCCTGGTAGACCTCCTCCGCCAGGCCGGGCTCACCCCCAGCGTCGTGGTCGGCCACTCCAGCGGCGAGATCGCCGCCGCGTACGCCGCGGGCATGATCTCGGCGGCGGAGGCGATCCGCATCGCGTACTACCGCGGGGCGCACGCGGGGCTGGCGCGCGGGCCGGACGGCCAACGCGGCGCGATGATGGCGGTGGGGATGTCGTACGACGAAGCGACGGAGTTCTGCGAGGAGAGCTTCGCCGACCGGATCGAGGTGGCGGCCAGTAACGCGCCCAGCAGCGTGACGCTATCCGGGGACGAGGATGCGATCGCCGAGGCGAGGGCGGTTCTCGAATCGCGGGGCGTGTTCGCAAGACCGCTGCGCGTCGATACCGCGTACCACTCCGCGCACATGATCCCGTGCTCCGAGCCCTACCTCGACTCCCTGGCGGCGTGCGGGATCGCCCCCCAGCAGGCGCGGGAGGGGTGTGTGTGGGTGTCCAGTGTGCACGGCGCGCGGATGGAGGGATACCGCGTCGACGCGCTGACGGGCGAGTACTGGAATGACAACATGGTCAGTCCGGTCATGTTCTCCAGCGCCGTGGAGGTGGCGCTCAGCGAGGAGGCGGCGTGCGACGTGGCGATCGAGATCGGCGCGCATCCCGCCCTCAAGGGCCCTTTCACCCAGACCGCGAAGCAGGTGGCGGCAGCAGCAGCAGTATCCAGTGCGACACCGCTCCCCTACAGCGGGACCCTGAGTCGCGGACAGCACGACCTCGAGGCCCTCAGCGAGACGCTGGGGTTTGTGTGGACGCATCTTGGGGCCAAGGCGGTCGACTTCGCGGCCTACACCTCGGCCTTCACTGACGCCCTCCCGCAGTGGGCGCCCGACCTGCCGCGCTACAGCTGGGACCACCGCCAGTCCTTCTGGCGCGAGTCCACCAAGTCCGCCAACCTCCGGTCGCGGGCCCCGCGGCACCCGTTGTTGGGGGTGCGGTCGACCGAGGATCTCGACCAGGAGATGCGGTGGGCGATCACGCTGCGCACGCAGGAGCTGCCCTGGCTAGAGGGCCACAAGGTCGAGGGGCAGGTCATCTACCCCGCGGCCGCGTACCTGGTGATGGCGATGGAGGCGGCCCACGCCCTAGTGGGCGAGGGCCAGAGCGTGCAGGTGCTGGAGCTGTGCGACGTGGAGATCGCCAACGCCATCCCGCTGTCCGAGGACGGCAAGGGGGTGGAGGTGCAGTTCACCCTCGTCCCGGCCCCGCATAACTCCAAATCCGTGACCAAGTCGGCGCAGTGGGCGTGCTACGCCCGCACCGCGGGGGCCGGCAAGTCCTCGTGGCGCAGCAACGCGCGGGGCACCGTGCGTGTCGTCCTGGGCTCCGCCGCGGACGCGGACGACGTCCTCCCCCCGCGCAACCCGCCGACCGGGGTGTTCCACGAGGTGAAGACAGACCGGTTCTACGAGGCCCTCACAGCCATCGGGCTGCACTACACGGGCCCCTTCCGGGGCCTGGACAGCGTGCAGCGCCGATCCGGGACGGCCATGGCGACTGTTACGCAGATCCCGGCCGCGGAGCTAGCCGTGCCCATCCACCCGGCGGTTCTGGACGCGGCCTTCCAGACGCTGTTCGCAGCCTACTGCTGGCCGGAGGACGGGAGCCTGCGCGCGCCGTTCGTGCCGACCGGCCTGCAGAGCCTGCGGATCGTCAACCGCGACCTCGTGCAGGCCAGCGCCCAGCTCACGGTGGACGCGTGCATCACGCACTCTTCAGGGACGACCATCATCGCGGACCTGGACCTGAGCAGCCCCCACCCGGCCAACGCGGGGCTCATCCAGCTGCAGGGGCTGCGGTGTTCGAGCCTGACGCCGCCGGGCCCGCGAGACTACAAAGAGCTGTACACGCAGACGGCGTGGGAGGTAGACCTATCCAGCGGGCTGGCGCCGCTCCCCACCCTCAGCGCGGCCGACTCCCCCACGGACCTCGCCCTGGTGGACCTCAGCGAACGCCTCGCCTACTACTACCTCCGGCACCTCAACACGACCATCCCGCGCTCCGCGGTCCCGCAGATGGAATGGCACCACCAGCGCATCTTCTCATGGATCGACCACCTCTTCCCCCTGATCACAAGCGGCAAGCACCCGACCATCCGGCCCGAATGGTCCAGCGACACCAAACCGCAGCTCCTCGCCCTCGCCGCCCGATACCCGCACTCCGTCGACCTGCAGCTCATCCGCGCCGTCGGCGAGCACCTCCCCGCGGTCGTGCGGGGCGAAGCCTGGATGCTGGAGCACATGGTCGCGGACGACACGCTGGACCGGTTCTACAAGTTCGGGCTGGGGTTCGCGCGCGCGAACGGGGCGATGGGCCGGGCGGCGGCGCAGATCGCGCACCGCTACCCGGCGGCCCGGATCCTGGAGATCGGGGCGGGCACGGGCGGCGCCACGAAG